TTTCCAAACTAGTTGTTTTAAATCCCTTAGACAATAAATCCCGCTGAATTTGCGTCTGTTTTAATTTTTACTTTTGGTACTCTTTGCGTGATTGTGAATGTTATGACACATTTAACTGAGTTATTCATTACGCCTGCTCAGTCATTTTTTCCCACTCCCCCAAGTGGACATCTATCGTAAGAAGTGGATGATGTCATACTACCCTTCGAACATTTTCTGTGATCTCAAAGTATTCTGTCCCATAGTTAAATCACACGCCCTTACTGGTTACGCGGCCTGTCTGGATACTGCGTTTCCACTCAAACACGTTGTTTCGGCTTTGAGCCGTCCTACACTTTTAATAATATCTAACTGTTGCTTGCTAACTCGGTAAACTTAACGTTTGATAAACTGGTCGGCATGCTACTTTAACTGCTGGCTATGTGGCTTTTTGGGCTCTCCTTAGCTATACGCACATCTTCAACCAGTTATCGAAGTGAATGTCAGACAATTCTCCATGGTTACCATTATTGATTCTGGACTGGGATAACAGTACTTCCGCTTCATCGAGTGCCAATATTCATTGTGCCAAAACATTTTCAGTGTGTTTTCCATGGGGTTTCCTGTTATATCACATAATATCCGGCGAACTGCTCGAAATGTAACAACGCGCGTCGTAACGCCAATTGTAGTTGTTTTAACTGAGCAGTCGTTGTCAGTGCTACTAACACTACTGTACCGGTATTTTACAGGAGTACTTCTGCGCTATCCTCACCATTATCAATACATGTTAGCTGAGGGTGAGAAAAACACCTCACCTAATGTGCCTAAGGTACTAAAAGTTGCAGACTGCAAAAATTTTCAGGAAACAAGTAACATAATCTTAAATATCATTATGCATCTGGTACCGGATTGCATGTAGACAGGGAATCCAAAGGGGAGTGGAATAGACAAAGAAACTCTAGTCCAAGATGGACTTCTACATTGCAATCATTGTGATGAGGATTGAGAGGAGGGGGGCGAAAGGGAGGCTTGCTGCTAAACTCAAACTGTCTGCGCATACCATAAAGATTAATCATCGTCATCAACAGCACGGAATCAACCATGTGGACTAATGTTGCCCTGCCGTGTCACCACAATGATCTACGGTAAGATGAATCACAAGTGGGAGACAAAGGCAGAAAACCTTAATGCCCTAAGCAAATATTCAAGGTCAAGACGTCTACGCCTTCTCAACAACATACCCTCACAAACAGCTGGCTATCGTGCAAAGATAAGGTGGCGTCAGCGAGACAACTTCCTTGGGGCTTTCACTGGCCTGCGTCATAATCAGCCACTACCCAACAGATAACTCAGCACCAGGCACACTTTAAACAGGCAATCCAATTAGGAGACGGCAGCAGACACGCCGTTGGTGTCTACTGCGAGCCATGTCCTGTAAAGTCTCTAGCCAATCACAAGGTGGATCACGTAGACTCCAACCTGGAAGGCGAGACGGGCTGTGCGCACCAAGTTTGATCGTCCGTGACTTCATTTCCCGCTGCCAAGTCAACTTATGTCCACCTCGAGCCTTGCGCCACCCTACACTCGGCAAACTAAACAAGGCCCTCTTAGGTAAGCAGTGACCAGGCATACGTAGTACGTGCCCAATCCAATGCAACCTCTTTAGTGCTATCTGTTGTTCTAAGGAACTAGCTTTGTTGTCACTGCCTAGTACTCGCCTACGTACCTCACCGTTGCGGACACGCTGGTGCCACCCGACATTAGCAATGCTCCGTAGAGAGCGATGATCAATGACTTAGAGCGCCTCAGATTCTCAGACCGAAAAGGCGAAGTCTCACTCCTATATAGTAGGACGGCTCTCACTGCGACTTTTCAGACGGAGAGAAACTCCTTTCTATCCACAAAGACGTAGGTTCTATTAGGCAGTTCTGGCTTTTGCAATACGTGAACTAACTTCAGTTGCTATGCGCCCATCGTTGCTGACGCAGCTGCCAATGCTATCTCGAGTTCCTCGTCTTCAAGAGTCAAAGGTTCATCATGTGTATGGTGGTTTTCAGCAACACTGCACTTTGAAGGTTTGAAACTCATATCAAATGATGGAACCACTCTAAAGAGGTTATTCAGGGTTGATTGCGTCGCACAAACATCGCCAAACAGCAAGATAATGTCGTCAGCATAATCAATATCAACTAGCCTTTCACCAGGCAGCACCTCAACGCCAGCATCGCAGACTCCTCAAGGGAACATTCCATGATAGAATACACGACGGGATTAATCCAGAATGTGGAAATTGGACAACCCTGACGTACGCCACTAGTTGTCGGAAAGATACCCATAAGTAACCGTAGACCCTGACGCAGCCTGTCGTGTTCGAATATGGAGCACCTAAAATGTTTACCTATTTCAAGGAAATACCTTTTCGCGCAAGTATTTCGAACAGAATTGATCGATCGACTGAATCGAAAGCACACTTGTCGTTCTGCGGTATGCGTGGCGCTGCTCTAACACCTGCCGCAGAGTGAATATATGGTCTATATAGCCACATCCTGGTCGGAAACCTGCCTGCTCTTCCCTAATCCGAGATTCCCGTTCCGCACTGAGGCGACGAACAAAAATCGAGGCCAGTACTTTTGTCACAACTGACGTTAGGCTACTACCCCTGTGGTTAGAACAATCTGTACGACTGTCCTTCTTGTATATTGCCACTATAATCGATTCGTTCCAGTTAGTCGAGACATCCTTCCTTCCAGGTATGTTCGAGCAGGGAGGTCAGTGCTTTGTAGAGGATCTCACCACCATCCTTAAATAATGCAGATGGGAGGGAATCCGGACCAGCAGCACAAAAAGGTTGCGCGCTGTGATCGTGTTTTGGATCTCTGCCTCCGACAGAGGCTCTAAACTAACCGTCTGTGGCTCGTCCTGCATCGCCTGAGTAGAAAAAGGACCTGCAGCAGAGGCCAACCGAAATGCTCTCGAAGTGCTCCGCTCAACGAGCTATCCGGTGCTGTTTAATGTGAATCAGTGCACCTGTGCTGTCCCCGATTGTCTTACTGACGCCTGGTTTCAAGGGGCCAGTGGTGCGGATCAGCTGAAATAGCATGCGAAAATTGCCTACTGCTCCTGTCTCCCCCTTTCTTAAGCCTGATTGGCCCACCAGGCTTCCTAGTCAGCACATAAGCTCCGCTTTAGTTCGCGCCTAATAGTCCGTCTGGTCCATCAGAAACCATGGGGTACAGAAATAGTAAAAAAACACAACACAAAACATCAAAGTCCATGGTTTCGTCAGAGGGCGAGATACTACCTGGTTGCCCAAGCCGAAGTAATCCGTCTGGTCACATTGTGCTCAGAATCAGCCGGAAGGTTTCTTCTGGATTCCATCGGGTTCACCGACCTCTTGGATATCCAGTTACTGGTGCGGTGACAACTGGTGGTACCACAAGCAGATCTTGCGTCGTGCATGGCGACCAAGGTCCTATTACACTGAACCTCAGTGTCATGAGGACAAGACAGCGGAAGTTCTGTACGCAGTGCTTCCCGGTAGGCTTACCTGACCGAGGCCTGAGATAATTTCTCAGTTGCTACTCGGGGGAGGCGCTTTGGTGCGCCTCCCGATAAACTTCATGGTAAAGATAGCGTACCAAGGCATGATCAGAGTCGACGCAAGTACTCCAGAACGAGCGACAATCCAGGATGGAACCACGCCACCTGTAACTTATGGGTCAATCACTGGCCAGCTACAGGATGACGCCAAGTGGCACCTCGGAGCCTACTGTCGGAAAGCAGTGCTACTAAGAAACAGCTGGTGCTGCGCACACAGTTGCAACAGACATTCGCCATTGTCCGTCTGTCCGGAGTTAAGCACATAATTACCACCTAGGTGAGCTTCTGAAGAGCCCCGGCGACTTATTTGCTCACTCATCTTTGCAAGAACTATGATATCTCTATGGGTAGCACGGCGTAATGGCTTGTTTAGTTCGTGATGGAATGTGTCCTCGGCATTAGAACTGCAGTCGGAGGAAACATAAGAGGGATTGTTGCCGATAGATGCTGTGGGAAGGTGGCTGCAGATGCTTTCACTCCAGTGGCACTTCGGTTGCTGTCAATTAAGCTGGGAATTATGGAAGAAATATTTGAAATGGGGTCGGGATGGCTTCTTTGCGACCTCTACTGTTGGTTGTCCAACCGAATTCATATCGCTGATGATTCATCACCTCGAATAGACAGTCCGGTCTGGAGGCGACTGCATGCATGCTGCTTCTCTCGATGGTATACGATATCTTGGGTCAAACAGTGAGTAGGTTTCTCACGTGAATCCTAATGTGAAAAATGAGACGAACTAACAGCACTCGAATTATGGGTCAATGACTTCCTTTATATCTTCCAGCTCAATGCTCATCCCTCCTCGAGACTTTCGCAATCCAGGACGCGTCAAAAAACAATACACTATTCTACAAGCTATTAGCAGACTTACGTGACACTTGAGGGACTCGGATCGTTTAGCGATCTGGTCGCAAACATTTCGTTACTAGGACAGGCCACACCTTCGGCGTATTTGCCTGAGCCCACGTTGTCTATTACGCGTTGTTTATGGATCCAGCGGATTGAGTTTAACCGTCCTTGCCGATTTTTGTAACAGTTAGTGTATCTTTGTTTCCTATTGCTTCGGAGCACGCGATGTCGATGGTTCTCCGGTTTTTATTATTTCAGTGGGCATCCTGCACCCATCATGAACTCTGTTCATACGGGACAAATGAACTCCTTCGCTTTTCCACCCCAATGACTTTGAGCTACTCACTTCTGTTCCCTAGTTTGTTGTGCGATTACACCTCAGTGCTGCAATTTAAGCATCCTTAACATGTCTCTCATCAAGGTCACTCTTGTTTCGTATTATTCCTTTATTTCCTAATCTCAGACATTAGTGCTCCGCTTTATTGTGTCTTCATGATAGTCGCGTGCATACAGATTTATGCCATGCACTTTCCTTTGTAATGCAGTATATGTTTTCACATCTTTTTCAGCATACCTGGACGCGCGAACACAGACCAGTCAGTAGTGACAGCTTCCACTCCTGCGGCTGCACTGATTTCTCGTGAACGTGCATTCAATCGCCTGTACCGACAGGCTTCTCATATCTCCCGTCGTATTTCTCATACTCCTCTACCTCCAACAATTGAGGCGTCAGCTGAATCCAACTCTACGTGCTCTGAGGAAGGTGGCTCTTCAGTTACCGTGGTCAACCAGACTGTTGCTGCGGAAAAGTCGATAAACGGTGATGTGCTTCCAAGCGATCTTGAACGCTGTGCTGACCCAATCTCTCACGTCGATGGCGAGCCTTCGGCTCAGTTACGTAAGTCCACTTCACATACGTTACGGTAGAACCTTTTCAACACGATCATTGAGGCCAAGATAAAGGAAGTTAGGCGCAGACTAGCAATTAGAAGACTGGAATGCATTAGCTTTCGATGACCACATTTTAGCATATGACTTACTACTCAGCCTTTCCTGAACTCTAGACTATTTTATATTCATCTTATGCATTTTCGGCCACTGGTTGAAAGCACTTTATCGATATGTTCTTTCAGCACTTATAGATTCACCAATGGCTGTCGATCCTGAGTCATCTTGCTTATCTACTCCTGATGCCGCCGAATCTGTTACTTCAGGAAATCACCAGACACACCCTCATCTACCGGATCACCCCATTGCGATGATTGCAAATATGCTTTGTCGTCAGCGTCACCTGTGGCGTTCCATCGAGCCGTATTTGGATCAGTGGGAGACGATGCTAACTACGGAAAGCCGGTCACAACAGAGTCTGCCTTCCGAGCACGTTGCATGCAGCGAGGTTTTACCGTCCTCCGTAGACATAGATCAGGATGACCCCGAAACTCAGACAACCCAACCACCCAAAAGCGTTAGTGAACCGCTACCACTTGATACGGTCGTGGTAGATCCGGTCCGTGGAAGCACTCAATCTGAGTGGCACCATCGCGTGAGTTAATCTTGATGAATTGATTGATGTTGCAGATAATTGTTGGGCATACTTTCCGTTCGCAGCACTACAGTCCGCGCTTGGTCCCTCACTTGTTTGCATTCATCAGGTTGTAACAGCGATTCGAACCCGGAACGTGGGGATTGCCAGCCGAAGTCTTTAGCCTTAAAACACTCAGAAGTGGCAGACAACGTTTGTCACAACGGTTAACGACTCATTTTAAAGTACCCTTTGTTTCCGTGCTAACTTTATACCGCACAGATTGGTTTGATTTGGAGCAACTTCCCCATCCTTCAAAGACAGACAGCATTAATTTCAGTGCTGTTTTTTGTCCAGACAACTCGGCCTAAGTATCCCGTCTAGGAAAATATCATACAAGCACAGCTTCTGATTTACTCTCAACTGATTCATCTTCTGCTTCCATTTGTTTTTCTGCTTTCGTTCGTTTGAAGTGTGTGCTATTTTAACTCGCTCCAAACGACTCGACTAACATTTTGTGATACAAGCTAGAGTATTATACTTTTTTCCTTTTAGTTCTTCGCTCAAATCAGTCGTTTGCTGCATCTGCATGCTCACATGCTTCATCTTATATCTGACTTCAACGTGGTTTCCTTGGCTGCGCCTCAACGCAGTGCAAACGCACCAGCTAATGTGGTTTCCAATGGGGCCTCTGACAACACGCTCCACAATGCCACTCCGGAGGCCTCGCATGATGTTCATTTGGTCATGGAATCTGAAAACGTATCCACTTCGTCGAGAAATGATGAACCTCGACCACATCATCGTCGAGTGGTTCAGCTACCTGAAACCGAAGGTCATTGGATTCGCGCTCGGATCAATGTCGAACCAGTTAGTTCCACTGTTCGTCCTCCACCTAGCAATCTTTCTCAACAACCGGTTGCTCGCGCGACTATGCGTGGTAGATCTACCTTACCGGACTCACCTGATCCGTACGTTCTCCCAAATATTGTTTGTTGTTTATCTCGGTTTGTTTCGCCTTCATCACTACCATTGTGGCTGTGAAACCAAGGCAAGGCTATGCGCACAATCTAGGGCTTAGACAACATATATTTCAGGTTATCATATCTCGACTATGCACTTGCTTTTGCAAGAAACAATTGGGCATATTTCGCCAAATCTGAAACAACTCTATGTTTGCAAAGTGCGAGCAGTGTGCGGAAACCATACATCGGGATACTAGTCAAATCCTCGTTATCAACAGTGATACATCAGCCATTGGAATTGCCCCGTCGCTGCGGTACAACCACGATAGCCTAAAAATGGAGAATAGTAAAAGGGAAGGGACCTAGTGTAGGGCCCAAACACCTCATGGAAATATTCAGTATAAGCATGCCTACACCTTCTCAGCAACATATGATCACACACGGCTGGCCGTCGTACGATAGAATCAGTTTTTCGAATTGGAAGCATGAACGTTTTTCTCATATGCATTAGATCACACAATGGCCACATGCTTGTTTAGCATAGTGATGGTTCTTTAAGTCGAGTCATCCTCACCAATGGCAGCGACGGCGGCGGTGACAACGTCAGTACTGACGTGTTGTCCTCGACCACAAATGATTACTGCGCTTTCATCATCATCATCATCATCATCATCATCATCATCATCATCATCATCATCATCATCATCATCATCATCATCATCATCATCACCATCGTTACTCATTGGCTAAAGGTGAGAAACACACTTCGGCTAATGTGTTGCAATAGAAGGACATCGGATAAATGAAAAACCTAGATACAAAAAATTGCAGAACACAATATACTTGACAAACAAATAGCTGATATGATGCTTAGTATCGTATTACTCATCATATGTGAGACTGTGGTTGGAGGTGGAAGATAAGCGGGAGGACTTGGGACTGGTGTCTGTCTGGCTGCTTGCGACAGGCTTTCCCAAACAACACGAACCCCTTGCTAAGATAAACTTTCACTACCACTTCTGTTTTCGTTTTCTACACGGCCACAAAATAGAATGGGATATACGTCACTTGCGTCGTGCACTAATCCTCGTGTTCATTCGGTGTATTCGAATGTATCGAACACTTTGTGCCTCCAAGTGCTTCATTTTCTGCTTCTACCTAAGCCTTTGCATCGCTTTATACGGTTCTTGTGAGGATGCTGCTTGTCCTCCACTGTAAAATTTCGTTCACATTGTTGTATGATATCGGCTTATTGTAGTAGGCCGAAAGCAAGTATTACTACTACGTCAGTAGTCAGTATTATACATGTATCAACTGAACCAGCCGGTAACGGGCCAACAGCGAATCACGCCAACGCTGCGACAGAAGCAGAATGCCTGGGGGCCTCAGATATATGTGTACTTAGAATGGATACAAAAGCATTGCGCGCCACCCAGCCTCCAGGAGATGGTTGACAGATTGGTGGAACGGTTGGTACTCAGAGCTAATGCATATGGTTTATGATGTCTGGCACAATAAAGAACTCAGTTCGCAGCTTGGGTTTTCAACTGTGTGAGCATAAGCTTTTGGATTCGACCTCATTTCCTCTATTAATTACGAATGGATACTGTTTTCGATTGTTGCTCAATGGCATGCATAATCCATGCGTTCTACACTTTCCATCACACCGTCGGGCCATGAGTGATTCCATCACAACTGTGTTTATAGTAACCTTAGCTCCGTGACGCGACGCACGATCGTATTAGTCGTGTTTTGCTTGTCGTCTTAACCAGAAGCACCTCAACTGCTTCTTGTCGACTGCGTGTTGTTCCTCGTGCCGGAGTTGCGATGTAACATTTATTGTGCTGCAACGCGTCTTCGTTCAGTTAATCTCAATTCACTTTCAACCTGCCTTGTTATTTCTGTGTCATCAGTTTCTCCCTCATTTCCCGCATTTCAGTGATGCTTCCTGTTCTGATTCTCGAACATTCCAATTTCTATATACTGCCAATCAAGTTGTTCTGCTAGGGACCGAATAGCTGTAATTTTACCAACTATGCTTTGGCAGACATGATCTTGGCTGCCCGCACAGTCAGCGGCGGGAACACTTACGATAGACCGTGTTACGCCTCCCGCACACTCAGTGATGTCACCTACTCGACGCATAAATCCATCTCTTTAAGCATTAGTTGAAGTCTCCACGTAGACGGCAATCAATCAAGACACTTGGGACACCATGTCACGTGGTTACGCGCTCATTGGCTCTTTGTTCTTGCTTATAAATAAATAAATTGTATATTCCTCGACGATGCGAGAAGCTGTTCCCTAGAAGGAACAGATCAAATAATGGTACAACTTTTCCATGACATTTCATCAATACATTTTCAGGGATAAACATGAGCGCAATTGCAAATTAGATCACACAGAATAATCAGAATCGTTCTGCTATTTTTTTCCTGCCATTGAAGCAGGATTCTTAACAATCACATGGCAGATATTTGGGCCGAGAGAAGAAAAAATGTAATGAAAGGGGCTGTTGTCCGAAATGTTATGTGTATGTTTTTCGGAAATTTATTCAGACACCACGGATACCGTTTTCGAATGCGTTATCTAGGGACTGTGATGTCCCGAACATCTTACTCACGTTTTGGACGGTTAAATGCTTACTAATAGCAAGCTTAAAATTGCAAAGTGTATAGCATGTTCTGAAATCACTTGGAAGTTTGTTCTAAATCTTTGACTATTGGGTTAAAAAGAAACGTTCTCTGATTCTCCTAGTAAATTTTGGAATCATGACCTTTACCTCTTTGTTACGTATTGGGTATCTGCTGTTTACAGATATGTGAACACCATTTTCAAGACTGCGAATTCGATAATTTATGATTCTGTAAAGAAAACAGGTTCAGCTTCATTATCCAAAGCCAAACTGGGTCAAATCCAAGTTTATCACATCGCTCCCTGTATGTCAACTTTGAGGAATATCCATATAGCTTTTTCGTGAAGCGTCTCTGGACCCTCTCAAGAGCGTGGTGGTCAGATTTCCGTAGATTAGACTGTACCATTGAACAGTATTCCATACACGGCAATACATATGTTTTTTAAAGCAATATGAGGGATTCCGTAAGGTAAAAATGATGACAGATATAACCGATGGTCTTCTTCATGTTCAGAAAAGTTAAACGTAACTGAATATCGCACGCCCAAGTCGCGAATTGTCCTGCATTGCGAGATATAGGCACCTTGTGGTAATAAAGTGTCTGGCGGTACTTGGCACTTGTACGACAAAATATTACACTTGTTCACAGCAAATGACATCTGCCACAGTTGGCACCAGAAGTCAAGGGCGGATAGGTCGTCCTGAATGAGACGTACGGCTTCCTGAGTATGTGCACGTGGTTGTGAGTAGACAACTTTAATGTCATCAGCAAAGATAAATGCAACACCATTTCTTATTCTCTGGAATATATCGTTAATATAAATTAGAAAAAGAAGTGGACCAAGAACAGTCCCTTGAATCACTCCACTAGTGATTGCTTTCGGTTTAGAGAAATGGTCACCGATGCGCACAACCTGCTGTCTACCAGGCTGATTATCACTAATGGAACTTCGCAACCTCCGGTCGCACGTTTCTTGTTCAGTCCAGTCTGGCATCCGACATGTGCTCTTACCTGTCCATCTGAATACACTGGAAATTCGGAAGGTTTTATGCTAGGTTTCTGAATACCTTGGTCTCTGCGCCCAGGTATCTTCTGCTTGGTGTGAAATATTGGCTGCTTATGTTTGATTTGTACGTCTTCTACATTAGAAAATATTCTCTAACCCGTATCTTTCCCGTTAATGCGGACCACTGAGATGGACTGTCGTCGATGTTTGGGTCACCTGTCTGATCTTCACTAGACTAGTTGTGCTGTTTTGGCTTGAATAAGGGTTTCCTACAGCAGCTGTGTACGACGTAGCTTCTGTTATTTTTCCTGCGGCACCACCGCCCGTTGCCCAACAAAGTCTTGTTTCTTCCTTTTACTAATTCTCCTGTAGCATTTTTAGAGATCACTGGCTCGTTCGCTTTTCCACTAACTTACTGATTACCTTTTTCAGTCGTCGAAGTCAGTCTGCCTCCAATGTTGACCGCAGTCGCAACCCCCCTACCGGCCAAAGTGAGTTTTTCGTTTCTTTATTGGGGCATTTGTCTTAAGTTCACCACATTCTCTGTTACGACTCAACGGTCCAATCGATATTCAACCTTCAAGGTCCCGTCGCCACTGCTAACCAACCGGATTTACATATATCCGAGTGCATTTTTACCAAACCTCTAACCATTGGCTTCCAAAATTGTCTTTTTGTCGCCTTGCCCCTTTGTAATGTTCTGCTGGCGATCATAGTGGCGTTTCGGCGCTAGATCATATTGCGATGCCTAACTGAAACGTACAACCTGTTCGGTCCATTCGATCAGCTACACTCGTAACATGGAGACGAGTTGCCTCTGATGTCATGGTTTGCGCCATCATGAAATAAAAATAAAAACAAGCGAGAAATGTTTGGACTAACATACAATGTTCAGAGGAAAAAGAATCGGAAGACAAAATTGGAACTATCGAATTAAAAAATTGTTAGAAGCGAGATGTTGCTTAATCGCTACTGACGAATTCGATACGGCTTGTGTTACTCTATGAATCAGATACGGCCAATTCAAGGAATTTGACAAATTCTTCATGTTCTGAAAAATAGTGGTTTTGTTTTGCTTTGCCTCTCGTCACCACTGCTGATCATTGAATTCGCTGCAAAACGTTATCCATTCTTTCCTATAGTGCTCTCCTTCCTATTTCTTATTGTTTGTGTCTGTAAACTGTTTAACTTACTGGCTTTAGGATTTTGGGTCTTTTTCGAGCCTTCTGCTCCTATAGACGGCCCACTAGGTTGGGACAGTCTTGTTCACATCAAGCTTGTTGTTTTCTCGTTGATGCTACTACTCACTTCTGCTCTTTTCTTACTTTTTGACCGTTACTCAGCTTTATGCTTCCTGCTTACTCGTTTGAGTAGCTTTGTTTTGTTATCATTGTGGATCGTGGTCCATCTCACTCTTTTACTCTTCTCTGAATCTCCCTTTTCTTCCAGTATTGACTGGTTCGGGTCAAGCACAACGAAGCGATCAAGCTCAGGGTGCACCAGTGGTTCCTACGTCCGTCCATTCGGGCTCGTTCGTCACAGGGGGAACCGCGATTATTCATCGCGTGGATATACCCATAATCTCCATGAATATGATCAATTTACCCGTCTCTGCATTGGAGCATCTCTCTGCTCCATTAACTGCGAGCGCCCGCCATACAGGTTCTTCGGCTCCTGCTGCTGCCACAGAAGATTCTTCTCAGCGAACCACAGCTGGCCAACAGCCCTCAGAGCCCAGCAGTCGGATCACCGAAGGCTCCACTGATACGGCAGTCCCCACCGAACAACCGCCACACATGTCGACCGCTGGCCCCACGGATCCATTTCTTGTGTGCCACTCGCGTCATTTTGCTCATGAACATCACCATCGGATTATGGTGCCATTTGTTCCACACACTACTACCCAAATTATCCCAGCAAGCTTTCATGTTCCAGCCACTCGTGAATCGGTCTCGGGCACTACTCAATCTGCTCCGTCTGTGCCGGTTTCTGTCTCTCCTCAACAGGCAGTATCAACTGCGGAACCCGAAACGGTACGATAATACATTGAATAGTAACTCTTATTACAAATGATCTGAGAGCCTTTCTACCTTTACTTAAACCCGAAAGCAGTTCGGAGCTTGATGAATGCCACTTTTGCCATCAGTTGCGCATTCTGAGTGTACGTATACAGTAGCGGGCAATATCTCTGGTAATTGACGGTTTTCTGTTGACTTTATACACATAATCTCAAGTGCATATCAACGCAATCATCGGACGACTAACGATATCCGGAGTCCTCATTTATAAAAAAGTGGGTTAAACCAAAGACATGTGGCCGATAGGATTATACGTCTGCCTTCTAATCAGTAGGTCACAGACTCGAATCCGTCTAGGTGCAAGTGACCTTGAGGCATACCCAGCTCACGCGCAACCGGTAGTGGTCCTGTGGCAGCGAAGCATCGGTACAGTGTGAGGGCGTACTGCTGATACCTTCTCTTGGTGGACAATAGGTCATCGCTGAGATGCGCCCCAAGGTACTCCACCTCTGGTTTTCTCGAATAGAACTTCGTTGCACGACCAATTCATTTAGATTCATTGGTGATTACTTTATGCACCTTATGTGTTCTTACATGCATCTTACTCGAAGTAAGGCATGTGATCGCGTCCGTTGTGCACTTTGCGTCCGGTTGTTCAACATGGTTTGTCTTTGACCAGTTGACATCTGACCAAAGTCATTTAACCCATTCAACTGGCTTCAGACAGATTCAAACAGCGTCTTGTAGTCATATGACTGAGCTATGTTGGGTCCTTGACACCTTCGGGCAAGGATTTTTGGGTCCCTTACTAGAAGACCTGGTTCAAAGTGTGTGGCCGTGGGGACTGATTGCTCTCGAGTCCCTGCTGCTGGCTGCTTACTCTTTCAGCTTCCTTCGGTTGCGGATCTATCCTTGCTTTCTATTGGCGATAATATGTTACAACACGGACCTGCTACATAAAGACGAAAATTCGTCCATAAGCTCTCCAGTTCTGTTACGACCTACGTATGCACTGGACACGGAAGCCATCGGTATCCTCAACTGTATGCACATTACATATTTGGCGACCCTGTCAGTTCCCGACAGCAGTCTCTGAAGCAGGATTGCTGTCCTTGAGGCGATCATTAACTTTCCTGTGACCACACTGCTTGTCGCGGAATCTCTCGAACCTAGCACACCGCGCTCATCAGTTCCCTACAGCACTCCCTGAAGCTGGATTGTTGCTTTATCGCTGATCATTAACTTTCCGTTGTTCACTATTCGTCGCAGAATCTCGATCTTAGCACATCGCGCTCACCAGTTGTTTTGTACGTCAGTAGATCGTCTTACGTAAGCGCTGAGAACAGTGCCTGTCAACAGGAGGGATAATGTAGCAGGTCCGAGTGTTACCGTGTAGCGATCCATGAGGTAAGGAGATCGTTGTACCTCGGTTGGACGGCCATTGATGTTTCCTCTCCTTTCTACATGTTTCCTTTAGTGTGGCCTCTTATTAGCCAGCCACCCACAAGGTATTCGTTTTGCATTGCAGCTCTCCCGGTTTATTACGACCTACGTACGCACTGGACACGAAAGTTCTCGGAATCCTCGACCAGTTGCATACTACCTTGAAATGCGTCAAAACCGACTTAGTAAGACCATTTCGGTCAAAAACTTGCGCTAAGTAACTATGGTGTTTATAGGCGAAGTATTTACACGAAGTGCAATTTAAAGTGAAAGCAAATATGCGGTTTTTCTACTTTTCAATCTAGCTTTTTGTATCATGCCCCAGCCGCTCAGCATGGATTCCGCAGAGCTCGCTCCTGTCAGAGAGGCATGGGTCAAAGCAGTAGACGACGGGGGACACCTAGACGTTGTCTCCATTGACTTCAGCACGGCGCTTGACAAGGTCCCACACAAACGACTTGCTTAAACCCCAGGGAATTGGCGTCACTGGGAACGTCCTCGCATGGATGGCGGACTTCTTGAGAGATCAGACTTTCCAAGTAAATGTGAACCAAACGCTGCATCGCTCTGTGTCTATTCATTGGATTGTAGAGAGCAGAATGGAGAACCTTTGTCAGCTCCATCACTTCCCGATCCTTCCGCGGACGCCTCGATTCGTTGAGAAACGAGATTCCACAGGGGGCGTTGCAGTTGCGTTAAAAACAGCAAGACCCCAGCATACTCATCAGATGGGAATTCAGCAGTCGTTTGAAACTTCCCTAAGTGTGCGCATCGACGACTTGCTGGGGTAAGGAGTTCCAGTCGTTTACCACATGAGTAGACAGAGCAAGTTTGGTATTTACTCGAAGCCTCCGCCGTTTAAATGGTTTCCAGCTATGCCCAACAGTCACACCCACAACGTTAGGCCAAAAGAACCCTTGAAGCTCAGCTCCCAGCTCTCCCCTTGGAATACGTCGAGCGAAAAGCAGATCTCCACGGAAGCGACGATAATCCAAGTGACCATCGGAATATTGTATTACTCCAATTCTGCACATCGGATCTACTTCTGTTCTTACTAGCACCATTGCACGTTACCTAAAGGGAGACGGTGTTTCACGATTCCCACGCTCGCTAAATGTCCAATTACTCTTCCGACCCACCATGTTATACCCGTTCTACTAACTTATGTCTTTGCAAATGGGACTTAGACCTTCACATCACAAACGTATCACTCGACCGAAGAGGCCACTATATTCTTCCTTATTTGGATGATCAGACAATGAAGTTCCTAGTAACCTAGGAGTTTCCTGCGGATTCGCCTACCAAGGTGATGTTGGCCAAGTTAAAGGGGGTCTTTCCAGAATATAGGGCCTACCCAGAAGTCCGGAAATTGTTCTGGTCACGGTTCCAAGCACCGGACGAATCTGTGATGACTTTTACTCATTGTGTATATCGGCTCCCAAAGCGTTTGGCAATGAACTACCTGCTATTCGAGAAGCCTTTATCCTCCAGCGAATTTTTCAAAATGTAACAATCGAAGACGCACTGAAAGATTTCGCCCGCAAGCCCCGGACCTCAGTGCGACAGGCCGTCAGCACCGCCAGATAACACGCCGTGGCTCCGAATGCCGTCAGACGGAGCACCGTCCACAGATGTCTGGTACTGAAGCCAAAAAGCTACCTAACGAAGCACAACAGCAACAACACACGACATGTCTATCTCGGATACAGCGCACTGTTATTGCTGTAGGAAGTTTGGAAAGCAGGCGGTCACACCGAGCAGGCAACCTCGTCTTTCGCACGCCGACCTTACAGTCGGAACCCAACTCGGTTGCTGCACCGCTGTAAGTCCGAATGTGTTTCTTGTATCCGCTAGTCAGACCAGCTAGCCATTCAACCCTAAAACAGCCAAAGACCTAGTTGACACCGGACAATCTGCTCTCTAATCCGGCCAGAGTTTTGCATCCGAGATATAGTCCGAACTGGTTTTCACCGGCTGAGAGCACCTGACAACACCCAACTGAAAGTAGAAGGTGTGCTACTGTCGTTAGTCTCGGTCTACGTAACAGTTAGTCGAACCATACCGTTTTTGTTCCCATACAAATACTACGAGGTGCGGTCCTTAGTTCTCATTTGATTTACGCCACAGGATGCTCTATTGATTTGCGGGGCAAGCGCATGACGCTAAACGGGCACGAGATGACCATCAACGTTGACACCGAAACTTGATCGAAGGTATGGTCTAACGCCACCGCAACCATCACACCCATACCTATCGCTAAGCAAGTCATTGACTTCCTGCGCTGATACGCTGAATGTGATTCACGGCTGCTAGCATTTCCTTCCGTGTGGTACAGGAATTTTTCTCCTGCTTTGTTTAATATCTACTAGCGTAATCAATAACATCCAGTTTGAAGTAGAACAGCCTTAATTTCAATGTTGCCTACATCTGTACCTAGCACAAAAAGACTTGTTGTTCGCTGTAACCAGAGAAAAACAAGCAGTGAACTGGTTAAGGCGTGTGTCGATTGCCTCACGGCGCTGTGCTGTCTGCCTTTTTCTGTGAGGCTTGTCAGCGGTCCTGCAATATTCGCAAAGTTCCATTCAACACTTCTGTAGTACGAGGCCAGACCATGAAACCGTGTATCCTCTGTTGCTCTAGGTGTTGACAAATGTTGAATGTCTGTAATCTTCCTCTGCTCATTTTGAACACCATCTGGAAAGGTGACGTGTTCGAGAAAGCTAACCTATTTCTTAAACAGCTGATATTTCTCTAGGTTTTCTCGTAAACCCGCATCAGTTGGACTTTGAAGCACACCGTCGTGGTTACGCAAATGCTCCGTCCATGGACTATGATGTCCTCCAGCTAAACTGGGCATTGGGATGGTACAAGGGGTTACAAGGGAGCAGGGACGTTCACTACGCCAAAAGGGATCATTTTAAACTCGTGGAGACCGGTGGCCAGTGTAATGGCGTTCTTCGCACGTTTCCTTATACTCACCTCCACTTGCCACTACCCAGAAGCACGGTCAAGGGTGGAAAACCAGTGTAAGCCAACCGAATCACATATGGTAAGATCCAGTCGAGCTTCATTCTTTGCTTAGTAGGCTACTGTAAAACGGTCTTTTGTCTACATTTCCCTTTGCAATGGCTAGAGGCGTCTGTCCTAAGTCGTCCTGGAGTCCATCACCTGCTGACTCAAAGGCAATGCGTTAGGCTGAATTGCTCAGAACCAGTGACAGACCTGACTGGTGTAGTGCAGTCGTCGGTTTCACGAAAGGTGCACTGGTTTGAGCTCAGAAAAGTATAGCGTTATGGCGAACAGTGAAAGTTGGCTCTTTAGTTGTCCTACTTGTTACAAGCACAAAACAGCCTTGTCCGTTTTCGGATGCGAGATTTTCGGCACTGATTTCCAAGTTAGAAAGTATGGAGAGCCTTCTTTTTTTGTTGCTCGACTCAAACCGAAAAATGAATGGAATCCTATTTGGCGTTGAACACGCAAGTCTACCTGACCTGCGGAAAATTGAGGGTTTGTGCAACTCTTCGGACTCGAGCAGCTCGACTATCTTACCTCTTCTTGTGAGTGCGTCTTCC